TTAAAAATAGTTGAGACATCTACCATAGTTGAGGGGGTTCTTCTAAAAATTAACTCTAAAATGATATATGCAAAATTTTACATATATCAAATTATATTTAAAGTTAATGAATTAATATTTTTCTTAAAATATTATTGATGAATCCATCAATTATTTTGTTATTTATGAATTTGATATTATATCTTCACTGATTTTTATAAAGAGAGATTTTTGGATCACTCGTGTCTCTCTTTAAAATATTAATAGAACACATGACACCTTAAAAAATATATAGCATACAAAAATTTATAAAATTAACGACCTTCCTCTTATAATAATATTCCCTGCGATCTAAAAAAATAAATAAATTATTTACACAAATTACCCAAAAATTTATCTTGAATTCTCTCCGCTTTATTTGATATTTTCTAGTAATTATATTGAAATACCAATGGGTACTTAAGATTAATCTTGGAATAAATATTTGCATTCTTAAGATATTTTATGAATATTTTAAAACCACTTATACTTTTCCAAGTAAGTTAAAATTTTAATGCAAGTATCGCAAGATTGAGGATTTAAGCATGAGATTGTTTTAGATTAAATCAATATGTGAACACTTGTATCTCATCTAGCTGCGAAGTGATTTATTCATGCTAGATGGTTTAAGTCAATATATTCTATAGTTCATACCAAACCTCAAAAGTTTATATAGTAAAACCTCAATATAAGATGACAATGCTAACTACCAAAATCTCCATATTTTCTACAATAAAGAGATATTTTTCGGTGTTGTGATCACATAGAGCGCCAACTTTTTTAATGTTCTTTTTTTTATATCACAAAAAGGAGAGATGTTATGAAGGAGAGTTTGATGGTTGAACTATCTAATTTTAAAATTTAAAATTTTAAAAATAAAAAAATCTACGCTCTCATTCAGCAAGCTGACTTTTTTTCCCTTTTTTATCTTAGAATGTTATAAATAAAAAATAATATTATTAAGGATAGGCTGGTAGTTAAACTATCTAACTCTGAATTTTAGATTTTGAAATAAAATTCATCTACACCCCCACCCCCAATTTTGATTTTCTTTTTAGTTGCAAACTATTTGAAGAAAAAACTTTAATTCGCATTATCTAATTTTTAATAATATATATGCTATAAGTCATTATTATAAGCTTTTTGTATGCTCGTATCCATAACAAACGAAGTATATATAAAAAATAGAAAAGAGAAACAGTAGTTAAAAAATTTCTGTTTAATTCAATTTAAACATATGACTAAAGAAAAACCTATCGAGACCAAAATTATCATGTATAGAAAAACCAGACGTCTATCATTCCAAGCTAATAATGCGGGTTTAGTTCGCGCCATCCTACCAAGCAAAGTTAAAAGGGAAATGGTAGAGGCACATCACCAATCACACCTTGAGACACACTCCCCTCTCTCAGCTACAGTGCACGGGGCCCACATGAATTTTTTTAAAAAATTCCATGTGGACCCCATGCACTATAGCTGAGAGAGGGATGTGTCCCAATGTGTGGTTGGTGGTGTGCATGTAGTGTCACCCAAGTTAAAATCCTTGTTTAATACTAGGTTCCTTAATACTATAACCAATTATTTCATTTTTTTTTATTAATAAAGACAGAAACTTTAATCAGTCTTATCAAGGATTGACCAATTGAGCCCAGGAAGAGGTAATCAGCCGGAACTGGGGACATCTTCACTTGAGAGTGGACCCCACCTCAAGCTCTTGTCAAGAGGCCCCACCTCAAGCATCTGGCTATTTTGAATCCCACCTTAATTCCCTCCCAAATAGCCAGATGGGTATGATTGTGAAATTCGAATCTGGACATTTTGGATGTGGCATTTGCAAATCCTCAACAACACAAATTATTTCACCTTGCTCCTAATAGTTCTCTTATTATTAAATTATTTCGCCTATCATCAAATAGGTTGGGAGAAAAAAGAGAAATGGCGTCAAGCTCTATGGAAATACTATGACAATAGCACGTGTGCTTATTCTATTTCATCTTTTTCTAATTTACTGTTTTATATATGTTTTTAATCACAAATGCATGCATGCAAACTCTTTTAATTAATATTTTGCAGTGCGAGTCTGTTTTATATAGTAGCCCAGTGCCCACCCTCTAAATATTTGTATTATACTTTTTTTCCTTTTTAGAAAAGGCCCGGAGCCTAAAAATTTTTAGGAGAGTCGAACCTGAGACCTTGGAGTACTGTTCATATACAGCTTACCAACTCGGATGTGCCCTCTTGGGTTATATTTATAATACACTTTACAACTGTATTTCATGGAGTTTTTATTTTCTTTGGTAATAAAAGCAATAAGAATGCTTAAAATTTAGAATTGCTCGTTAGGCGTCTCTTTATCACCATACATATTGGCCCTTAGCGTGTTGCATTACATGACGGTTGTAGATAATTGCTTTAATAAAATTTTAACTTAGCAATTTCGTTCTCTTGATTGAGAATTGAAAACAACTAGTAGACAACTCTCAAAACTTTTAAATGAATGATATACTATTAAATTAAATCAGATTAAATCCGAGTATGATTCCTCTCTTTTCTTTTCCTTTCCCCCCTTTCTTTCTTTGACTTTAAAATTGGTCTACCATAAAAATTGCAAAACTATATCTTTTGGATACCTCCCAACTTATATTAATGTCTAAATTTTCCTAGACCCCCAAGAATTTTTTTTGCGTTATAGAGTTAAACCCTCGATAACTGTCAAAATCATACTAAACCCCTAATAACTTTTTGCATTAAACCTCCAATATCTCTTGGATAAAGTATTGGAAGCCCTCAATACATTTCAAAATGCTTTTTTATGTTGTTTTTGGTTCTAATTTAAGGCGGTTATCTATAAAATATGGAAACTTACCAGGGTACTTTCTGCAATACCAAAATGTTATTTGGGGGGTTTGGTGCAATTTTAAAAGTTATTGGGGATTTACTACAAAACACTAAAAGTTTTTGTGGTCTAGTGTAATTTACTCTAAATTAACTAGGGGTACTAATGCTACTCTAAGGCTCTGTTTGGCAAAACTAGCTGAAAGCTGCGAGATTATAGTTAAAAGCTGTTAAGCTAGCTGGAAGCTGTGAAATTGTAGCTGAAAGCTGATAGCTGTGTAGCTAGCTGATTGATTAGAGCTGTTTGGCAAAAGTAGCTGTACAACTAGCTTAAATTTGTTAAATGACTAAAAAGGACATGCAATGTTATTGATATAAAATTAGAATTATTAGGGACAAAACGGAAGAAAAAAATTAGCAGCTCCTTCCCAAAGACAAACGCTACTTGAGGTAGCTTTCCAAAATCTACTTGCAAAAGACACAATCTCCAAAATAATCTCCTCCTATTTTTTGTCACCAAACAGCTCTACTAGCGACACAATCTCCAAAATAATCTCCTCCTATTTTTTGTCACCAAACAGCTCTACTAGCTTATTGACCAAGTCAATAAGACACAATCTCTTAGATAAGACACAATCTCTTGTTGCCAAACAGTGCCTAAAACATAAGAACGTAAACGCTGAAGCCCGTAATGTACTTCACCTAAAAATTATTTAGAATTGATTATTGTTTCTTTCTTTTCAGGGACGGTTTAGATCAATAAGTTAGGTGTATAAGCGAATAATTGTTGATGAGATCATGCAATATTTGCGTGACAAAAATATAGTGGAGATTTTTTGGAAAAAATTCTGAGGTGCAGATTTGGTGTCACGCAAATTTCGCGTGCCGTTTTTATTGTCCACAAATGCTGGAAGTTTGAAACAAACAAAGAAAGATGGATGTTTGTTACTCAACTTCATCGTTATGTTTATCACCCCTTTATTTATTTTTGATGTTGTTGAATATATCCATTAGAAATGGATAACAGAGAAGATATTTTTCAACCATAATAACCACAAAAAATTATGAGTTTTCTTGGGTAAAAAAATAGATAAGGAGGTGGGATCTATCAAAATAAATAAATAAATAGATAGGAAGTTGAGAGAATCAAATTGATCATAGAAATATCGTAGGTATTTAAGATTAATAATCCCCTATATTAAAATACAATAGTTTTCCCTCTTTCCGAAAAAGAAAGCATCGAGTCAAAGCATTCTCTCTCCCAGTGTATATTTTATTCTATTAAATATGAAAAAAGTAATTTAATAATCGTATTTTAATTCATGATTCCTGTGGATTAACACATGAGTCAGCTGCACCATTATCTTCTCACTCAGCCAACTAAAACTAAGGTTAAGTAGCTCCAAGTTGTGGGGAAAAAAATAATACGGTTTTATATATAATAATCAATAGTCTTCTGTTTTTAGTATTTTAAAAAGTATAATATATAAACGGATAAACAAATATTCACCAGATTTATTAGTAGAACAAGTTTAATAAGCGGAGAACTGGGCCCCACATTGACTTGTTAAAATTTAGTTCCTAACAATTTGGATAATTTTCTCAACAAAATAACAGAAATATCTCCCCTGTATCAAAACTTAGTTATCCATCTTACTCAAAATATTTCCAAAAATACCCCCAAATTGCTGATATTTAACCCGCCGAGTGAACGCGTTGGTTTTGTATTTATCCATTCGATCGCTCTCCTCTTTTCTCCTTTCAAGGAAAACCGGAGCGGATCCCTTTGGTGAGTCAAGTCAACTGAGCCATTTTTTTCCTCCATTAATTTTTTTTTATTTTACTAGAATACAATTATAAATTCTGTCCTTTTAAGGGCAGCTCTCATTTTGTTTATATACAAGCCAGGGATGATTGCGTGCTCTCTGGTTCGTTTGTTAAAATTTCTCATTTGTTGACTCTTGTAAGTTGCAGGCCCCTCTCACTCTCTGTTTTGTTCTCTCCTCTGTCTATAAAGAGCAGGGGCTGCTTCAATAGGAAAACAGAAACTTAGAGATATAGTAGGGAGAGGCGAGAGAGAGAGAGAGGAATTGAAGAGTAATAATGGCGGGGGGTTTTGTGATTGCGTGCTCTCTGGTTCGTTTGTTAAAATTTCTCATTTGTTGACTCTTGTAAGTTGCAGGCCCCTCTCACTCTCTGTTTTGTTCTCTCCTCTGTCTATAAAGAGCAGGGGCTGCTTCAATAGGAAAACAGAAACTTAGAGATATAGTAGGGAGAGGCGAGAGAGAGAGAGAGGAATTGAAGAGTAATAATGGCGGGGGGTTTTGTGGATGGTGATCTTGGGAAGAGAGCAGCCCAATATGAAGGTGGGGTCACGGCCTATTTCATTTTGGCTTGCGCTGTGGGATCTCTTGGGGGATCACTCTTTGGCTACGATCTTGGAGTTTCTGGTGAGCTTTATTATTATTATTATTATTATTATTGATTTTTATGGCACCATTTCATTTCCCCAAGCTTTTACGATATGGGTTTTCCTTTTTGCATGCTTTTATGGCGTTTTTGTACGAAAGTTTTTGTTGGGTATCTTTCAAAATTTGATCTTCAGGCCATTTTCATATCAAAACGCTGGTTGGGTATCTGCGAAAAATCCGATCTTGTACGAATATTCTATGAGAGTTTGTAGATCTGCTAAAAAAAAATTGATAGCATGAGACGAAGAAACTGAAAAGATCCCCCTTCTCTCTTCAATATATCTGCAACACGTTATTAGTGCTCGTTGCTATTTGAGAGCGAAGAGGTTCCCTCCATTGATTAGAGAATATCACTTCAATATAGCAGTCAGTGGTTGCAGAGGACCATTCATTTCATTTCCATCAATCAATTCTGTACACTTTGTATTCTATCACTAATGATCCTTAAGAGTGTCGGGTCTAGTACGAGTGTTTGATTGATGGTAAATTATTGTGTAGCCCTTGGATTGTTTCTTGTTGCGTTGTAACCCATGTAAGTGTTTCTGCGGTCCCTATGAATATCCGCAGGAGCTATAGTCCATGTCTCTGATACATTTTCCTTCCGAACCGATTCAAGTTTACTTAATATATTTGTTGAATATGATGATGCTTGTAGCTGACCCCAGAAATTTGCGAAAGGCTTTGTTGTTATTGTTGCTGTAGACATACATTTATCGGAAAAAGTTGATCAAATGTCATATATTAGATTCTCAAAAAATGCCATATATTAGAGAACATAAATCATTCCTTATTCCAAATTTATTCTCTTACATAGGTGGAGTGACATCTATGGATGACTTCTTGAAACACTTCTTCCCAAAAGTCTATGAGAGAAAACAAGCTCATCTCAATGAAACCGATTACTGCAAATATGACAATCAAGTCCTAACCCTCTTCACATCGTCTCTATACTTTGCTGGACTTCTCTCAACATTTGGGGCCTCTTATGTGACTAGAAAGTATGGAAGGAGAATTAGCATCATGACCGGTGCCGTTAGCTTTTTCCTTGGTGGTGGTGTCAATGCTGCGGCTGTAAATATGTTCATGTTAATCCTTGGTAGAATTCTCCTTGGTATTGGCATTGGCTTCGGAAATCAGGTGAAAATCTCATTCATTGTTCATGATATAGATATTTAATTGCGAATTATTTGAATCATATAATGTTGGATATTAACTTAATATGTGGTGCACTTGACTGCAAAGTAAGATATTTGTACACAGTTCAGAGATGGATTCATATGGGACTAGTCACTTAGCAGATTCGAGTCTAAGAGTTTGGTAGGCTGTTAGGAACATGATTTTTTAACTACTTTGATGTGATTGCTGACCTAACTTCGTACAAGAATAGCTTATTAGTGTAATGATTGTAGAATCTGCATATATTCTGTAAATATATGATTGATATTATTTTAGGGGCATATCTGGGATAAAAGAATCCAAGGAATGTTACCTTTTCCCTGTTTTTCATGTAGCTTACATATATGGCCTTTTGGTATGGCAATTTGCAGACTGTATAATGATAAATATGTACAGATTTTGTCAACTCAAATATGAGCTATTTTGTCCCTTCACTCTTTAACAACTTAAGCTTTCAGGTAAAAATTAGTACTGACATCTGTAGGCTCTGGATTATATAATGTTCTTATTTTCTTTGGAATGGAAGTCGTAATTACAGACAAAGGTATATTTACATCATCCTGTTATTCAATGTTAGTTATAAACATGGGTTGCAGATAGACCCCTTGTAGTATCATTGTTTTGACTTCCACCTCTAGTTTCATTGGTCAGATATAGTTTTTTACTCTTACCCGCAGAGGATGGCTAGTAAGTTCCAAAGAGCGATGCTATAGTGGGTCTATCTGCAGTTAAGATACTCATTGGACACTCCTTGAATATACCCGTACGTTTATTCAAACATGTACTTGGTTCTATAATACATGTTTTAATCAAAACACTCGTCATACACTTTGTCCACATTTTGGACGGGTTCGTTGGCCATGTCCAGTTTAGAACTATGATTTTAAAGTTTGGGTATCTTATTCAAAAACCAGTGTTTTTCCAATTTATAGTCTACAAAATAAAAGAAACATAAAAATGTCATGATAAGTTTATTTCTCATAAACATGTGAATAAAAAAATATCATTGATCTTATATAAATAATTACTTTCAATATTTTTGTATGGCCATGTCCCTGTGCCTTACCTTTTACAAACGTGCCGTGTCCTATAACCGCACTAGTACTAGCTGTGCCCCTGTCCATGCAACTTAGATGCCTATTACACTTGCAATAATATCTAACATGATTCTATTTTGGTGACAACAGGCAGTTCCCCTCTATCTCTCTGAAATATCACCCCCAAAGATAAGAGGAAGAGTGAACCAACTCTTCCAACTTACAACTTGCTTAGGTATCATAGTTGCTGACATCATCAACTACTTCACCGAAAAATTGCATCCATGGGGATGGAGGCTCTCTCTCGGTCTAGCCACAGTTCCAGCCACCTTAATGTTTGTCGGAGGCATATTCCTTCCAGAAACACCCAACAGTCTTGTTGAACAAGGCAGATTAGAAGAAGCAAGAATCATCCTCGAAAAAGTTAGAGGTACAAAGAAAGTGGATGCAGAATTTGAGGACTTGAAAGATGCAAGTGAAGCAGCAAGGAAAGTTAAGCATCCTTTTCGTAATCTTTTGAAGCCCAAGAATAGGCCTCAGCTTATTATCGGTGCCCTTGGCATCCCAGCTTTCCAACAGTTATCAGGAATGAACTCCATCCTCTTTTATTCTCCTGTTATATTCCAGAGCTTGGGATTTGGTTCGGGTGCTTCTTTGTATTCATCGATTATAACGAGCTCTATGCTTGTGCTCGGAGCTTTGGTTTCGATGTCGTTGGTTGATAGGCTTGGGAGAAGGTTCTTCTTCATTGAAGCGGGAGTTCAAATGATCATTTGCATGGTAAGATGTGTGTATCATTTATCATCTGCACTACTCCGCATTTATAGCAAGTATTTCAAATATGATGCTTACCCCACCTACATTACTTAATTTTAATTCCTCAAAACAAAAAAAAAAAGAGGGGGGGGGGGGGGGGGGGGGCAAAGGCTTCATAGAAATTTGAGACAGTTTTTTAAGAGCCCTCGTGACTATTTGTCAACCACAACAATTTTCTCAACTTTCATATATCTAATAACGAAATCTGATACAATTTTCAAGACCCTTTTCAGGGGTTTCTATCTGCAACAATAGAATTATATGGGTAGTAAGTTCAATTTGGCAATAGTAAGAGGGTCTATGGGCAATTATCGCTGCATTATTTGTGCACGTGCTACAATTTTCTCGAATTTCATGTCTCGAATAACAAATTTCTGTCAACAGGCTATTGTAGCTACTGTCCTAGCAACAAGCTTCGGTCATGGTGTTGAGCTTCCAAAAGGCCTAGCACTACTACTCGTGATATCAATATGTCTCTTTGTCGTCGCTTATGGATGGGCTTGGGGTCCTCTCGGTTGGTTAGTACCAAGTGAAATTTTTCCTTTAGAAACTCGATCAGCAGGCCAAAGTTTAGTTGTCTGTGTCAACCTCTTCTTCACTGCTGCAATTGCTCAGTGCTTTTTAGCATCTCTTTGCCATCTTCGATGGGGAGTGTTTGTACTCTTTGCTTCATTGATTGTTATAATGTCTTTGTTTATCTTCTTTCTATTGCCGGAGACTAAACAAGTGCCGATTGAAGAGATGTCTCAACTTTGGAGGAAGCATTGGTTCTGGAAGAATATTGTCTGTCAGGATGATGATGATGATGATAAATGAGCTATATGAAGAAGCCTGTGGATGAAGAATAGTTGCATTTCTAGCATTATTATTATTATTATTTATTGTTGATGGATTGTTTTCGGTGTTTATTTTTCTTATTCTAGGTTATTGATTGTTCTAAATTTGAGCAATTGTAAAGCGTTATAGGCTCGGTAAATAAAAGTGCAATTCGGAACAGATGAATCAATTTTTTTTTCTGGCTATTGATTGGTAAAATGTATAGCAGTATTCTTATTGTTTCTACTTGCTTCTTTTTAAACTGTTCTCTTTGTTGTAAATAGTTTCACCTCAAGATTAGTCAAGTTGATGCTAAAACTCAGTACTCTAGGCTTTAACGTTAGCATATGTTTCTCTCGGGAAAGTATGATATATTTTCACTTATACAGATGAGTTTTGTAAGTAACTAATTAACTCACTCTCCCTTTCATTTTACTGCATCCTTATTGTTAATGGTTTATTGCAGTTGTGTGTTGTGTGTTGTGAGTAACTAAAACGTTCCTTCTTACTTCTTCACTTATTACAGTAGTAATAAAGAACATAGCTAAACTTTTCATTTGCTTTTCGCTTTCTTAGCCACTTGAGAGAAAACATAGCCAAAACTTTTCCAACGTTCTTATCTCTTCATTCTCTAAGTACCTGTGAAAAGTCCTTGATCACTTGACTCTCGTGCCTGTCACTTTCCTTTGAATTCAACAGTGTCCAGCTGCGGAAAAGGACTTCATATGACTTCGTCAATAATTACCTAATATTGTTTCAGACAGTAGTGAATAAATGATAATTTAAGAACTATACTTGTATGATATCTACATTATTCGTCGATGCCAAGAATGTGCCGAATATAGCAAAGAAAGCAAGTTAAGATGGAACATGAACTTTTAGTTTTTATAAAACCATAGTATAGATAGAATGATAGATAATGGACTATTACAGACTTTTTTCGATAATAAAAGCTCGTCCTTTTTCTCTTCCTACCAATGTTAAATTGCTTGTTGTTTTTAATTAGGCGGTTCTTGGTGTGGGAAAACAAAGCTGATGATGCTGGAGTCTTAAGCAAATGGATATGTTACCACATGCTGCCTCTCTTTTATGTTGTTGCTTTTGTAGTTCTAAACTTTTAGACAAACAGGTACCTAATCGATATACTAAACATTTAAGAGATGAAATTTATGAATACATAAAATCTAATGAATCTGACATTCTAGTATGGATCATGTAGCTTAAATAGAAGAATCAACGACGTATCGAATTGGTGCTTGTCACCACATAGGGAAGTTGTCAGCACTCCATCCACAAATTACATGGCGTCGATGTTGGTATGATTACTGCTCTTTAATGCATCTGATACAGTATTGGCATCAAGCTACTAAAACTGTGTTTTGTTGTATGGATTGAAGGAAGAAAACAATAGCGATGATCGAAAATAGAGGTGACAGGATATGTCTCTCTCATTTTTTTTTGTTCGCTTTTTTCGTGTGCGGTAAGTATGAAGCCATTTGAATCCAAATATTGCCCGTTTATGTTTAATGCCTCCTGATTCTATCGCTTTCCTCTCAAAACTGTGACTTCTTAATCAAAATGTAGCTGTTAGCCTTGTCACTCTTTTTAAATAGGTAGATAACCTATTTAGATATGAAATCTAATTTCTAAACTAAATAATCTATTAGATGCCATCCCTTTCTTTAGCACAATTATGAATATGATAAACTGCTGAAGCTAGTAATATTCTAACGAGGGTGATGTAGATGAAATACACAAGGAACTATATCAATTTGATATTTGTCAATTAGGGAAAGTGCTCCTTGATGCTTTTGTTCAAAAGAGATGATCAAGAAAATGAAACAAGAAGCAAAAATAGGTCTAAGGACATAATGTGCTTTCATTCTCACTTGAGTATATATGGAAAAGTTCAGTTACTTCTAGGGAAAAGGTAGTCAAGAATTTTGTAGTGTTTACTCTCTTAAATTATTTTCTCATCTTTCTCATCCTTTTTTTTTTTGTTGTTGGTCTTTTCTTCGTTGCTCTCACTCTCAAGAATATCAGCAATATCTTTTGCTTTCACATGAATGCTAAATAACATCAGCAAGACTCTTGCTTTCCTATCACGTTGCGAGATAAACTCAGATTTGCCTGGCACACGAGTCTACTCATGAACGCTAACTTGAAGTTTAAATTATCTGATAATTAAATGAGAACCTTATTCAATTTTCAGTCTTGAGAAGTTAAACAAAATCCGTTTGTATTTATAAAAAAAATATATCTCTGAATTATCAATCTTACTGCTTGTGATTGGACTATGTATAACATTTGCCGAATTAAGCTTTCATTCAAGCTCTAGGCTTGACACGGTTTGCGACCTCTGTCTTTACTTGACAATTTTTTGAGCATTTCCAAGGTAATCAACTCAAATCTTAATACAGCAAGCCAGACTACAGCAATCTGATGTGTGACGATTTTTCGATACTCTTCCGCAAATGTTCTCTCTTTAGCATTTCGTAGGGAATCAACTCAAATTTTTATACAGCAAGCGTAGGACAGTAATCTGATTACTGTACTTATTGACGCATGATGATTTTTCAATACTCTCCTGCAGATGAATTCTTTTGAGCATCTCCGAAGAAATCAACTCAAATCTTAATACAGCAAGCCAGAATACATTAATATGGCATACGATGATTTGTCAATACTCCTCTGCAAATGAAATTTTAGTTCATCCAAGGCAGCTCGTAACTTGTCAGGGAGAGGAAAACCAATTCTCGTTCAATACAATTGTGCCAAAGAGAGACATCATTTATTATCAAATATACAATCAAAACAAGAAGAAGCTTCAATACTCAAGGCACATGACTTTTTTTAAAAAGTAATCGTTCGTATTACATATCTCGGTTCCAAGTAGCTACCACATGTCTGATGATGCCATGGAGTGCTAATCAGAAGCAGCATCTGTGAGTTCTTTCAGTCTATCAAATATGTAATTAAGGATAGAAACAAAACTGTGCAGATACTTCACAAATGATTCTCTCTGTTTCATATGTAGATGAACACTTAGATACAAATCAATGTCAAAAGTAGTTCAATTACCTCGTCATATATTCTACACTTCAAGGTCGTTCTGCTTGTAATTTTGTGGCTCGATCTACTTGCACTGCACTTCAACTGTCTCCTCTCATCTTTGTTTACTGAGCAATAATGGATTCACAAATGTCTTCTTGAACAAATCCTCAGTCATCCCTTGCACTTGCTTCCTCATGCTCATGATTTCTGTGTTTATCCAACCCAAAAAGTGAGTTCATAGCTCTAAGCAAGAAGCTTCGCAAGCTCATCTACTCTCAAGCTGCCACGAGGAACATCTCCTGGTACTTCTTTGGTTCCCTCCCTTTTTTTACTCCTGAAACTATTTCTATTGCTTTTTTCCTCAGGGATGATAATAGCTTCAACCTCCAAATCTAGCTCCTCGCTGTTCTCTGTCTTCTCTTTCTCAATCTTCTGAACCCTAACTTTCCTGATTCTATGCTGAAACACTGGCCCAGCTGGAGCTGACTTGGCAAGAGCAACAGACCTTTCATAAACATTATTAGCATCTAATTCCTCATTATCCAAAATCATGGCACTGCCGCTCTCAACAGCTTGATTTAAAAGAAGCATGACTCCATCTAAGCATTTCTTCTTTAGCTCAGTGTTGCTCTGAGTCTCAATCATGTCAGTATCTGTGGGATTCTCCGAGGATGGCTGAGAAAGATCCTTAATATCTTCCAAGCTTGAAAATCCATTCGAAGAAATGCTTTGGCTTGTAATTTCAGGATTTAGCTCCTTGGAAGTTACAATTGTAGAATCTCCCATATGTTCTGAAATGGAAAGATCCAACTTTTCTTCAGTAGGAGTTATTTTTTCCTGAGATATTACAGATGTGAGCTCTCGGTTTGAGCTCTTCTCAGGATTCAACTCAAGTGATTCTTCGATTTTCAAATCAGAGATACTGGGTGAAGTAGTTGGGGAATCGTCAGTTCTTGTTTCTACAAGTTTATGTGAATTGTCTTCTGGGGGCGAAAGAGATGACTTCCAGTCTTTTCCTCTCCACATAAGTATATGTTCGAATTCAAAGGAAATTAAGACACACGGGACTAGATCCTGCGACCAAGTTTAAAGATACAGGTAAAAAGAAGAACAAACAAGGAATAAAAAAAATACTTCCTATATTTTCTACGAACCTTTAGTTTGGCACCTATTTTTCTACAATCACTCTTGTTCATATCCTTGCAGTCAATCCGCACCAGCTCACACGCTTCAAAGGCTTCTCTAACGTTTCTAACAAGGTTGGAATATACACCATTTTTTCCTGTTTTAAAGTTTATTAAAGAAGAAATACTCCAGGTTAAAATCAGTGGGGATTAAAATGTTTAACAATGTAACTCTATCAACAGAATTCAGATATCCAAGATATTAAAAGAAAGGGTTAATTGGAGATAGACCCCCTATAGTATTGTTTTGAACTTATTACCTACCCCTCTAGTATCTTTGTTACAGATAGACCCCTGAGTGGTTTTTTTACTCTTTTACCCTCAGAGAAAAAGAAATTTGTTCATTTTTGACAAATAGACCCTTGAGGGTAAAAGAGTAAAAAAATTCACTCAGGGGATCTATTTGCAACAATAGAACTACAGTGGTAGTAAGCTCAAAATTATGATCCTACAAGGGTTTTATCTGCAATTAACCCTAAAAGAAAGGCCTATGTCAATTATTCTGCGATAGGAAGATATTTACCAAGCTTGCATAATGGGGGCAGTTGGCGTCCTCTCTTTCGCATCTCACTTGCTTCTTCCAATGTTAATCCCTCTGGAGCCTTCTGAACCAACCTTGGATATACTGGTGTCACAGGTTTCCAGAGCATTAGAGGATATCTGGGTCGGGTTCTGTAGTTGTAATTTCGGCCACGGAATAGGAAAATAACTCCTCCTCTGCCGTATATAATCTTTCCTCCAGTTTTTTCCTGTCCAAAGATGAAAAGAAGCACCTCAATGCAATGCTAAATAAATGATGTGAATCCATATCTAGGATTCAAGATTGGTTCTCATTATGTCACGTTCTGTTTTATATATAGCTATCTGGATATTGTATCGTCGACAAGTATCCACAAAACAGACATGCATGATTGGATACTTCCCAGCCACATATTAGACAGCTATCGTGTTTTTTACCAAACATATCTTAACAAAATCAGACCACTTTGAACTTCTAGGTGTTCCGTATTTTCCACTTGCAGGTGAAATCTCATAATGTGAAGCAATAGATCAACTAGAACCGTGTATGTGTGCTGGAATTAACAAGAGCAAAATCGGAAGTTTTAGTTAGAAAAGTATAAAATAGTCTTTCTAAAAGGTCTGGGATATGTACATCCTAAAGTAACTTAGCCTAGAAAAAGCATTGATAATGCTTTCAGAATTTGAAGGGGAAAATATGGACATTTGGCATAGGCTATAACTTTAAAAACCTTTGATTCTTAAAAAAGAAAATGGCCTTCTATGCATTTACATATGCCATGACCCATGAGGAACCATTGTAACTGCTGTAATTTCATTATAACAATGTTATCTGAAACCAACAAGAGAACAGATAATTTTGAGTTAACAAGCCTTCAATTAAAATATGCCAATGTTCTGTGTGATGACAACAAACAATTCACCAATACACCATTAAGTTAACATAACAGGAAATTTGAGTCATTTGACAAATAGCGTTCATCGTGTATCCTACTAAAATCTAAGAATATAACGTGAAAACATTTTTTTTTTGTAACTAAACATGAAATGAGGCATGAAATTTTGAATGCCAAACCTCCAATTGTTGACGGACGTTATCCATGTCAACAGTGCATACACCTTTACATTTTATCTTACACACTCTCCGGCGTTTCCAATGAGCATGTATATTATCCAACATGTTGTGTGTTAAACCATCCCTACCTGCACAGAGGGGTAAAGATTAATACAAAAATTAATTAAAAAGGTTTACAATCTATAAATAGAAAAGGCAATGGGTACAAACCTTTTAGATAATTTTCAGACTAACCGAGCAAGAAATGACACCTAAGGTGCATATAATAAAGTAGATATGAGTGCTTTTGTTTCTAATTCTAATACTAAGCGACGCAAGAGCAGTTAGCAAATTTGAGAGTGATCATCCATGGTAACCTGCAAAGCTTCCTCAGAATTATATGATTTGTATTTTAATTAGATAACATTTATCCATTAATTAGTTTGTTTCAAATTAGGAGTCAAAAATTAGTTTGAAGTATATAGTTATAAAGCTTGAGCTCGATTAGAGGTTCACGATTTGTCTCTATTTAAGATATAATCTGAGTTTTTCTTAAGAGTTAAGACTTATGTTTAATTTGTTTTAACTTTCTTTACTCATAATCTATTTACAGTCTGTAACCTGCTTGTTATTTCATTTGCATGGTATTTGATTATTTGCTCAAGAGTTAGGTATTTTGCAATATTCATATTTCATTTTATTGGTCTGTTTGGCTACTTCCCCCCTAACCAGGTTAATACCTTAACCAGGTTAGCTATAAACGAGGTAGGGGGTGAATCAATACTAGCCTGGGCAGCTACTAACCTTGATAGTGGGAGATGCCAAACACTCCCTCAATTTCATATGGGACACATCCCTATTCATCCCCCTCTGTTGTTACTTTTGCCCACAACTTTACTTTGGAAAAAGAAGTGTCATACCACCGAGAGATCTTCAAATGTATTCCTATGCCACGTACAGATTCCTAATTGAAGCTAAAAAATTATATTTAGTACCTGATTGAATGCATAGATAGTCTGCTATGAAGATTCCTTCTAGGGGGGTACCTTTCATTCAATGTTGAAAAAAACGGGTTACGTAATGCGTTATAGCGCGTTTTATAACTTAATGCGAGGTCCATGCTACATAACTCAGGGATATAACTCATACACAATATAACGCGGCGTTAATTAAAAAAACGCAAAAAAGGGGTTAAAACGCGTTACTTTCATAACCCAGAATAGCCTAAGTTAGATGCACTTGATTTTTTGGAAATGTGGATTTAATATCCACCGTCCATTTTATACAAAAACCCATCCCTCTCTCACCCGAACTCTCTCTCACCTAATTCGCTGGTAGCCACCTCCCCAAAACCCTAATTCCCTCTGACCCGACTTGTTTGCTTCGGTAACGCCAACACGACTCTCTGGTCTTCGTTCGCTGCCTCCACCTTCGACGACGACGAGATCTCTACCTCCTACCTCCTCCACCCCGATGAAGAAATCTCTCACTTCTCTTTGACAAACAACTCTCTTAGTCTCTCCCTCCTCCACCTTCGACGAAATCTCTCTCCCGACTCAACCTTCGACAAAATCTCTCTCCCTCCTCGACGACGAAATCATCTCGAACACCTATCTCCATCATCAAGTTAATTTAGCTCCTTCTTAGTCTCAGACATTTCCCTCTCGAACCTAAACAATGGCCCACCTCTCTAAACTCCATCTTCCTCAGATTGCACAATCATTCAACCATCTCCATCATTAAGTTAATTAAGCTTTATTGCTTAGATTTTGATTGATTATAAGGTTAATCAGATTTAATTTCATGAAATTCAGTTTTCAATTTGCATTTTGCAATCACTGTATGTGCCAAATTTTTACTGTTTATATTCATGCTTGGTCTTGGTTGATGTTGTGAACGTAAATTAAGAATTAGGATAGATTTGATCATTTGATGATGCCTTTTGGAATGATTGTTAGTCAATATATGACTAATTTTTGTTAGAAATTGTGATATTATATTTCTATATTTGATAATTGTGATGTTATGTTAGAAAAGTTTGATGATTCTAAGTATTAAAGTTTTTATGAATTGTTAGTATTTATAAAATATCTAAATAATTAGTAAATAATACAACCTATGTTATGTGTTACGTTTTTTTTTGCGTTTTTTTTCCTTAACCCTTAACAGGAGGTAAGCATTACACCCATTTTCGTTATTTTCAACATTGCTTTCATTTTATAGTCCTCCATTCATCAAGCAAGGTTATCTTTCACCAACTCCTAACCTTTCTAAAGTACTAACATATGCTGCTCTCATCATCCATCAAAAGTAATCCAACTTGTCAAAATGTTGCAAAACTCGACTATATTATTGCCACATTCCATATGGTGTCTCCACCTCTGCCATTCCATCATCACCTATGCTTGAGCCATTTTTTACACTGTCATCATAAATACTAATTCCAGTCCAAAATTGGCTCCAATCTACGTGCAATACCACCTAAACATATCCAAGAACCAGTGCCCACATCTTCAAGTTTTATCTCAGTGAGGACTCCAACCAGATGAAATTAAAAGGCTCAAGCTGCAACCATTGATAAGCTTGTTAGGAACCGAGTCCTGGTCAGAGTCTCTTCTTGTGCTACCATTGAAGTATGGGACTAAGGATGAACTAGATTACCGACAAGTATCCAGAACTCACTTCTATTGACATTAGTATCCCTTTCAGACACTATTGCCTATAAAGTCAAGCACCTCCCTTCAACTTTAGATTCTTCAGATTCTTTCTTTGTCCAAACTTATCTAAGTCGATTTTGGCATCTCCTTTCAAGATTACAAGAAGGCAAAAAGATTCAGTTGATTTGAGAGTCCATTGTTATTACAATGGGTGATCCATGGATACCTACAATTCTACAAAGGTAACACGTTCTCCTTGGAATTGTCAAAAATTTATTTCTAACTCGTAACTATATCTCTACTTTATATATAAAGAGAAATTGTTGAAATTCCTAAAGGCACAGAAAATTAACATGTGTCATCATAATGTAAGGACACAAAAAGTTGACATGATTCATATCATAAGTGTCACATGTCTCTTTATCCTATCAGAAGATGACATGTGGACACCTAATATTATATTCATCTAAGGTTACTCATCAAATTAAAATTATCAATAATTAGAAAATTCTAACAATCAAATATTTTGTAATCCTTACCAAACTATAACTATCCATAATTAATAAATCTCTTAATTATATATTTAAATATAGAAATTAAAAAAAAAAAACTCATGTAAAGAACCTCTACATAAAATCATGGGTTAATTTTAGCAAACCCTCCTCAACTATTTTAATTTGAGAAAATCCCCCTCAAGTTTGAGTATATTCTAGATAACACCCCTCAAATAACCCCTTGAATTTTTCTCACTTAAGCACCCTCAAGTTTGAGTATATTAGTTAAACTCTCCCCGTATACATCAAACAAGTAGAAAACCAAGCCTAAGAGAAAAACTAGTCGCCGCAACCCTGATTCATATTGCAACACAAATCATCAGGTTAACTAAAGATGCGCAGTGCTTAGCAAAAATTAGACCTATAACTTTTCAATGAATCAGCTGAATGCCTAAATTTTATACCTAATTAGCCTTTGGCTAATTGTTAATACAGTATAAATGATGTCATAGCGTAACTTATCACAATTTATTTATTTCTTGTGAGCAATCTAGCTCCTTCCCACTTTATCAAAGCAACAAGGTGAACGAATTGAATAAAAAAGAAGTTTTAGAAATAACAAACTAACCCATATTGAGCTGCCTCTTAGTCTTCAAACACCCCTTAACCAACTCCTTCACCTCCTCCGCCGTCAACGGCTCCCCTAAAACCTCCTCCCTCGTCATCGCCGTATACTTCGGCCCTGCCCCCATCAAGAACGGCCCTGGATGCTGCACCGGCTTCACCCCCTTCTTCCCCGCCGGAGGCAGCTTAAATGAATCAAACTCCGGAAGCTTCTTCTTGCTCTCCGGCAACGGCTTCCTCCCCGTCCACGGCCTCGGCATTGTCCCAGGACCAAATGGCAAGTACGGCTGCTCCCTCAGCGCCAAAGGCTTCACCTTTGGAGTCTCAGTGTAACTATACTGGAACTCAAACGGCGCATCTTTGATCTTATACGCAATTCCATTCTCAGTGACAGCGATTCCATTCTCAGGGTCAGGTTCCGGGGCAAATCGAGGTTTAGGCATCTTTCGAAATGCAGGATGGAGATTTGTCTTAGGGTTAGGGCTCCGGCCATTGAGGCAGGCAGCGCGCGAAGGCGCCGCAGCGACGGCTCGCGGCGCCGCGCTGCGACTTGCAAATCCCGAGCGCAGAGGGCCGCGGTATGATTAGGCGTTAGCGCCGTTTTGGCGTTGAGGTTTGGAGATGGTCATCGCGTAGCGGCCGCCGTGGGCAGCGACGCCGAGGCGTCTGGCTCGATCTGCTCCCTGCGGGCGCGGCGGCCGGCGGAGCCGAAGCGGCCCCCTCGCCCGCGCCTGGCCGTTTTGTCCAGCCGGGCCGGACAGGCCGGCAAGCTCCGCGTGACAATCGCGCCCGTGGTGGAGAGCGGCACGCAGTTATAGCCGGTCTGGGCAGAGACGCGGCAGCGGAGGAGGAGCGTTTAGGGTCTGGGAGAGAGGGAGGGGAGAAGATGGGGAAGGATGTTGGAGGGGAGATTTTGAGCGCCATTGATGGAGGGAGGGAGGGAGCGATGCTGAGCGTGGGTTTATCCGTTGGGGTGCTAAAAGGTAGTTTGATTGTTGGAGGGTCAGAATGTAAAACATCAAATGGATCTTTAATTGCATATTGGTCCCTTACATCATATTTAATTGATAAATGGTCCCTTAAATCTCATTATTTGCTTGTTAGTCCCTTAAATCTTCAGTTTTCTTGTCAATCCGTCTCTTGTGTTAGGTGGTGTTATTAATGACCGTTAAATATGATGGAACTAGGTAGAATACCCGTTATCCCCCCACCTATACAGACTCAAACCCACCTTCTTTCTTCTCCAATGGTCCCATGCTTCCTCCATACCCAAAATTGAGGTCATTTTCGTGGCTAGCTTCCCTCGAAACCCAAAACTTAGGAGGAAAATGTATACCCTAAGGACAACAAGGTAACTTGAATTGTTGGGTTAAGCATTAACTCAACTAGAGTCAGAGAAGTTAACAGTTTCTTTAATAGATGGACCATATGGCAAAAAAAACTAAAGATCTAAGGAACTAATAAGCAAATAATGAGATTTGAAGGACTATTTGGCAATTAGAGATGATGTACTAAAACACATATGTACACAAGGGACATGCACCCCCTTGGCTGCAAGATAAACAAGAATAAGAAATTACCAGGATTGCAAGAAAACAATGTTATGTGGTGCATAAATATCAATTTTTTATTGTGAAACATCAAAATAGGAAAGTGAAAAACTAATATTACATGCTTATGTAGCAGAGTAATTGTTCTATAGATCAATCCATTCTGTGGTGGGTTCTGATATCTTCTAAGGAGCCAACACAAATGATCATCCATGAACAGTATACTATTTCGAGACAAAAAATCTCAAACATAAAAATGTACTAATCTGTCAAATTTCCCGTCGGAAAATTTTTAAACGTGACCAGGTTATTCAAAAACAAAAATGGGCGTCACAAAATTTTCCTCACGGGTTGGACAAGAAGCGGATTATTTTGTTGTTGGAGAGGGAACAAACATATTGAAGAAAGCTCAAATTTGAAGATAGAGGGGGGTAATTTCTATGTTTCCATTTCCAATTTGTTTTTGATACAGTTCTATTTCCAATTTGTTTTTGATACAGTTCTACATGTTGTAACAACTGATTACTGATTAGAATCAATCTTCTACCGTGTTCTTGTTCAAAATATAGTAAACTTTTCTAAGGAAATAAAGTCATGAAAAAATAAATTAACATTGGCAATGCTGTAGCCTCAAATGCTCGCAACAATACAATTGACCTATGTAAATATGCATTTCTAATCTAGACAAGTTCATGGTATATGATATCGAATATGAATAGAAGATGTTGAAAATATCATACCCATTGTAATTAGACTTTTGAACGTAAACATGTTTTCAGGTAGACATCATGAGAACCCATTCGTAAACTAATAAAACTCATCAAAGCTTTCAGTTTTTATGCATTAAATTCCAACAAGTATATGGCTCAAGGAATTTGTTTCACCAATAAACAAATCTTATTGTTACATGCATTTTCCTAGTAAAACATCCTGAATGATTATCTCCAAGAAAACATTAGGAGTGATGGAAATATTGATCCGGATGTAAAAAAATCAAATAAACATCCAACCCTAGCTATGTAGAGATCCTAACTTCGATCATGTATAGTCTTTCCAGGAGATGAGGGTTTTGTTTGCTCATCAATGCCCGCATTGCTCTTCTCAGAAGAGTCTAGCTCTAAGCCTTTGCCAAATCCAAGCTCTGACATATCTTGTTTCGCCATCAAATTTCTGCAAAACATGCGGGTTGAAATTATCATATTAGGATAATAAGATACAAAATGTTAGTGAGGTGTTACAATATATCTTATTAAAATACCACTTCTCAAGTCATAGTAGATATTACTCAGGTTCATGACATTTCTTCTCACAAATTGTTCTGGTCTGTATCCTTTACAATGAATTATAGCAGATATGTGAACTACAAAATAAAAAGTACACTCAAGGCAAATTAGATCTTCCTTGATGCTTATTTTTCTCTCTTATGTAATCCTCTTCACAGATCTAATCATAGTCGAAAGAAGAAAATAATAGGCCACATGCTTACTTTTCCATTCGACATTCCAAGTACTTCTTTGAGAATTTCCGACATTTTTCTGATAGGTGGCCTGATGATTTGAGGCAGGTAATGTATTCCTTCTTCTCCTGCAGAAGCCACCAAAGTTTGAAGGGTAGACATCTTTAAGGAGGGAAAACATTGTAAATAAACTAAAAACCCAAAAATGTGAAAAATTCAATGTTTAATACCAGGTCACACTCATGGAGGTGATCCAATGGAAATACACCTTTCTCTGGTGGTACTGGTCTTGCACCTCTATTTCCACCAAAAGCTCCTCCTATTAAGGCAAACAAGTTGAAGCTGTTTCAGAGATCAAGAGAATTTTTCTACTAAATTTGATTGCCCGATCATGACAACAGTTTAGGAGCAAATCAAAAGTGGATAATGATCCAACGAGCAACATGAACTTGTGTTCCACTAAAAATATAGTTAAACTTCTTAAGGTTCTAGTAATGAGTAGTCATGAAACGTAATGACATAAATTTAAATTTAAACAAGAATAAGATGGGTCAAGGATCAGATGCATGAATGCTCGCTCCTTTTCTTAAGCACAGTTCAGTAGAGTAATAATTGCAGCAAAAAAGTCTTTCTAGCTTGCATCCCGGTTACTAGGGGCATACAAAACTAAGGTATTATGCCCAAGAGAAATTAGTATAAGAGGACCCAAAACAGTAGCGCCACTATCTCCGTAACAATTTAAAACATATTGAAGTAAGGATTTAGCATGAGATTAATGCAGGCCATGTTTCTAATCTCAAGAATAGGTGTGCAGTTAGAGCAAAGTCTAAGAATCACACATACACATAAAGGACATGAACATGACACTGATATAGACACAAAAATATGACACTTATTAAAAAACAGGATAGCGAGTATGGAAACATCGGAGTAAATATTATAAAAATATGGCTCTACGAAGAGGAAGTCTATATTCTTCCAAATAATAATGTGTGTGTGTGTTGGGGACTTGGCTCTTGCCAGGATATAAAAATATAAATCTTATCCATCATCACAACTTCAGAGTTTTGGTGAAATTGGTCAGAGGGATTTTAAGAGCTCTTTTGAGAAGGATTTGGAGCATGAACCTTCTTATTCAAATTTGATGATAGAATTACCAAGACAAAAGATCCATTCTGTTCCATTTGACTACATTGGTTTTGAGTGCCTAAGAATCCGATATCAATTTTTAAAGTTTTTACACCTATGTAGCAAATGTATACAAAATGAAGGACCTGAACAGCAAGATGTTTAGTTTAAAGATTAAGATACTTGAGACCTAATACAAAATGATGTATTTTTTTAGTTGCATTTTTAGATAGTTGGATCGAGAATTTGTATGTGCAAAACCATACATGATACATCTAATTTGGAAGCATCAAATTATGTAATATAGCACATTTCAATCTATTGAGATTTGTATTTCCGTTGGTCTATACTTATTACTTAATAAGATCTTTCATAAATATTCAGTGTTGTTAGTAACTACATCAACATGCCAAATCTGGGAAAGAAGCTTTGTCAAGTGTGGGATTCATATATGCTTAATGGGAACTTCAAGTCTTAGTTTGACATTTGGTGGAGACAGTCACACAAGAGTTCACAGGTATGGTTTATGTTAGTGATGATCTTTTGCTGATCGGGATAAGCTTAGATCAGAAAATTACTTATGTATTTACTCTTACAGAAGGTCCTATCTATCAAATGATGTTACAACCAATGATTGCTTTGTTAACTACAGAGGCAGAATCCGTGACAGCTACAGAAGTAAAAAAAACATTATAAAGAAACAGAGAAGCAGAAATGAACCAGGACTGCATCAGTAGATAGGTGATATGCTAGCTTCTAACTTAACAGAAATTATTTCTCTGACAAAGTTGAACAGCGGAAAAGGTTTTGACATATTTCATAATCGTTGTAATTATTGTTGATATACTTTCAACTCCACATGAATCTTCTCTACTACTATTCAAAATTTAAAAGTTTAAATATATCTGTTCCAACGATATTATGTTGTGCCATGGTATTACATGTTCAATTTATTTATCATATTTTGGCATATGATTTATCAAGGATTAATATAGTAACAACTTTCAATTATATCAACAGAACTTGGTTTGAATGCAAAGGTGTTGGTAAAACTAAGGACATTTGAGAACCAAGCAGTAAGTTTTTAACTAAGCTCCATAAAGCTACCCAGGAGAGCAGATGAGAAGGCATAGTCACTTGACCGAGTTATGATCGTTGAGTGGGACTACTATCATATTGAAATGGAATCCTTGTTAACTTGTTAACATCATATAACATTTGAAAACCCCAAACTTTTGTATAAAAATTGCAAGGACAGTCCTAACAGTAAAAATAAGTTGAAGGTTGTTGCGTATGACCCAAGTGAAACTGTAAATAATAAATGGAAATTTCTTACATTTTCTCTTTGGTAAAATAGAAAACGCATTTAATTTAAGGATCAAATACCGAGAATAAGCATAAAAATAATGAAAGAAAACAAAAATTGCATATAGAGGAACTCCCAATGTAAATAATATGAACTTACCTGCACTCATCTGGTTGGACCAGTTGGATGATCAAAAAAGCTTTGGCCTTCTGCGGTCTAATATGGGTTACTAGTGGAAAACAGCATAATAGACAGTGTTAATTACTTGAAGAGAAGAAAATGAAGTGAATACACAAACAAAGGACTCAATTAAGTCTCTTCTTATCAAATTGGAGAACCGCCAAAAAAAAAAGACTAAAACAAATACCATATTTGTTTAATTGGCATTGCACTGTATCATGCTTACCGTTGTTCGTCTTTTCGGCTTTACACAATAAAAAAGTTTTCATACATTCCAACTCAATCTTTTGCTTTCTTTCGTGTCAGGAAAAAAAATAAATATCAACCCATGTTAAACTTTAGAAAAAACTTGATATAAGACAAGACGAAATCAAATTACATGAAAGTCAAGATATTTGTTTCCACAGATAACTATGCAATCTAAACATGTCTATTCTATGTAATATTAATGCATAGGAGTTAGCACAATAGTATCGCAATTGGCAACCTAGTAACTTCATTCAAACTTAAATTTCACCTACAAAATCTTCATAATAAAAATTCTGTCATAATCTATAAGGCGCATGCTATGAAAAAAAATCAAATATGATCCCAATATAAACAAGTCGGTTCGGCGTGGTTCGGCTTGTTCGGTTTAAAATAAAAAACAGGAAAAACTATGTATAACATACTGCCAGAGACGAGTTCCCAAATCCGTGTTTTCTTAACAATTTGCGGCCCCATACAATTTTAGTTTCACAATTCAGAGCATCAGTGCTGCTCATATCATCAGATTCCTTGGATACCATGACACTGAGGGGGCACCGACGAACCGGAAGGAAAAAAAAATGAGAGGAAACAAAAACGAAGGTTCGGGTAAAATATCATTTCGGTTTTTATATTCACCTTCTCTGCTGAGTGAAGGGGAGGTCAATAGCTGAGCATTTAGATTATTCCCGGATGCAGTTGAGGGCTATGTTTGCCACGGCGAAACTCGTTCGGGGTCTTTGGATATTTGGCAGGTTCATCCCATCAAACCTGGGAAAATGTACAAATATTTAATATTTGGAAAGAAAATATATTATTTACTTCCAGAGATCTCCACTTTTATAATCAACCCATTGAGATGAAGTGTCCCATGTTCCGATAATCGTACCCGCAGGCCTGAGAGATTGATAAGAACCCACTTAGAATCTATTTTGCCCTAATTGTTGGCGAGTCGGCGGCGCGTCGGCGGAGATTCGGCGCTGAGTTGGAGGCGTGNCGAAGTCGGCTGCGATGGTGATTGCTGGTGACTGATCGAAGAGGGAGAGGCAGCCGCAGTGGGTCGTGAGAGAAATTGGGAACTGAGGGCGTTTCTTTGTTTTATGGTGTGTTTGGGAGTTTACTAAGGGCCTGTTTGGATTTGTAGGGGGTGAAGGGAAGTTAAGGGAAACTGACTGAAGGGAAGGGAAGGGAAGGGAAGGGAGTTCCCTTCCCTTTGGTTACACCCCAATTTGGGGTAACAAATTTTCTACTATTAGGGGGTGAACCAAGGGGAACTAGGGTGAATTAACTTCACCTCCTAAGTGTTCCCAAACAAGGTGAATGGAGGTGAATGGTTCCCCTAACTTCCCTTCACCCTCATTCCCCTCAATCCAAACAAGCCCTAAGGGAAGGGAAGGAAAGCTAAACAACGGGAAGGGAAGGGAAGAGAATCCCCTCAATCCAAACAAGCCCTAAGGGAAGGGAAGGAAAGCTAAACAACGGGAAGGGAAGGGAAGAGAAGGGAAGAGAATTGTAATATGTTGTTTGGAAGTTGAGTAAGGTGAATGAAAGTGAAAGGAAGTAAATATATGTAAATTTACATAAATGACTTTATACTAATAACACATCAGCCCTTTTATTTGTTTTGATGGGGGTAAGAATGTCATTACACCCCTTTACCCTCCTTTACCCTCCTCTACCGCCCAAATCGGGGGGGGGGGAAGAAAACCAAGCAATTTTACCCTCCTTTCCCCTTCCTTCCTCCTCTCTACCCTCCTTAAAAAAACTCCCAAACAAGGTGAGAGCCTCATTTCTCTTCCCCTCCCCCTCTCTACCCTCCATCCAAACAGGGCATTAGGGCTTGTTTGGATTGAGGGGAACGAGGGTGAAGGGAAGTTAGGGGAACCATTCACCTCCATTCACCTTGTTTGGGAACACTTAGGAGGTGAAGTTAATTCACCTCCATTCACCTTGGTTCACCCCCTAATAGTAGGTGAAGTTAATTCACCTCCATTCACCTTGGTTCACCCCCTAATAGTATAAAAATTGTTACCCTCAAATTAGGGTGTAACCAAGGGGAAGGGAATTCCCTTCCCTTCCTTTCCCTTCCCTTCACTCAGTTTCCCTTAACTTTCCTTCACCTCAAATTAGGGCCTGTTTGGATTCGTAGGGGGTGAAGGGAAGTTAAGGGAAACTGAGTGAAGGGAAGGGAAGGGAAGGGAAGGGAATTCCCTTCCCCTGGGTTACACCCCAATTTGGGGGTAACAATTTTTATACTATTAGGGGGTGAACCAAGGTGAATGGAGGTGAATTAACTTCACCTCCTAAAGTGTTCCCAAACAAGGTGAATGGAGGTGAATGGTTCCCCTAACTTCCCTTCACCCTCATTCCCCTCAATCCAAACAAGCCCTTAGGAGGTGAAGTTAATTCACCCTAGTTCCCATTGGTTCACCCCCTAATAGTATAAAAATTGTTACCCCTCAAATTGGGGTGTAACCAAGGGGAAGGGAACTCCCTTCCCTTCCCTTCGCTTCCCTTCACTCAGTTTCCCTTAACTTCCCTTCACCCCCTACAAATCCAAACAGGCCCTTAGGGCATTAGAATATGAACGGGTACGCGCTTCTAACGGGTACGGGTTAAGAAAGTATGTGAATATAAGAAGTATTCAACCTGATCAATCAAGAAAACCGATATGAACTGCTATTTTTCGGTTGGTTCGGTCGGTTTTTTTCAAGTTGGACCCAACCATGCTCAGCCCTACATTCTAGTCAAGTAAAGTTCTGGTGGTATCTTTTCACTCACGGAGAGGCTCCACACTTTCAAATGAGGCTCAAGAGCATGACTTGCCAAAAAAAGGCACGACTTTAGCAAAATACCAATATCTCTTTATATATAAAGGATCAATTATTTCTTTAAATTGGTAATTGTTGATGCAATTTATCAAACAGCTAATTAATCTAGAAGAGGATGGTTACGGGGTGATGAAGAATGATGGAGGGTCGCTCCCTTCTTCGACTTTATGCCTAGTTCTTGAATGAGGATTTGATGTCCACACTGCACAGACAAAAAGAACCCGTGAGAGGGCGGAGACCAATTCCCCCGTGATTCTTCCGACGGTCAAGTTAGTTGATGAACTTAAGCTTGAGCGGAGTTTAGAACTATGTGTTCTTATGCTATGTGCATTAGAGATGATCATCTCTAAGGTTTGGATCAAGAGGAAGATTTGAATTGCTCTGAGAGTTTTTTGTTAGGTTAGATCAGGTTAGACCCCCCCCCCCTCTTCGTTAGATGATGAACCAGCCTCCATATATAGAAGCATATGTCCATGGCAGACTAATTAGTTATGTTCGGCCATAACAGGCGTGGCGGTGACAAAGTTGTCAGCTGGAAGGTGAGTCACCGCTCGCTCTATACGTGTCGGCTGTCGGACTGGAGGCGCGAAGTTCATTCAGCATGGGAGATAGATGTCACCGCGATTCCCGGCGAAGTGACTTGATTGTAGCATCCCATACGGTAGAGTCGTGGCAGAAGTCTGTTGGCCTTCATTGGTTTTGATGATGTTTAACATACAATTATTTAGCTAATGTTGTTTGTTAGTGTTGTGCATTCCTAATGTTTTTATAGAGCAAACAACCTTTAGTTCGGAGGATGGATGGGAATAGAGCCTTCAACGATCATATGCCAAAGGGGTTGGAATGTCGGTGAACCTTGCAAATTCAAAGTTAAAGTAAGTTCAAGCTTCATCCGCAGAGATTTACAGTAGAGCTTATTGAAGACAATCTAAGCTTGGGTAATTTAGTTTAGGATTTATATTTATGGTGTGTTAAGGTACCTTAGCCTGCAAATAATCATACACACACACGTATTCGATTGGTTCTATGTATATATATAGTTATATATATACATGCCTGGTTTTGGTTTTATTTTTGAAAGCAACTTTTGAGCAAATAATGAGTTTCATAATTGCGGAAATGCAAATTGGAAAATTCTTTTTGTAAAGCATGTTACAAAAATGCATTTGCAACATTTCCTCAAAGTTCATCAATTTGGAATTCGATTTGTTATGTTTAAAGAATTTACAAATTCCACCGTTTTCGTTCGAGCTAGGAACGATCGTGCGTACAGTCTGCATGTTGTTACAAAACTGATGAGTTTTTTACAAATGAGAAGTTGAATTTGAAAAATTCTTTCTCTGACATGTTTTATTAATGACATGTTTTATAAACTTTCCTCAGTTTTTACTATTTTTTGGAGTTGATTTACTGTGGCCTACTTGATTTTACAAAAATGTTGCTATCACAGCAGATTTTCAAAACTGTATTTTTGTGTTCAAACATTATTCTCTCTGGCGACTGGGAAATGATTTTTCAAAATTCTTTCTGTGACATTTAATCTACAGGTCTAGAACATTGCCACAAAATTTAATAATTTTTGGAGTTCATTTCTGGTTTTAAATTGATTTTACAAATTGCTGCTGTGCATTGCTACAGTAATCCGGTCGACCGAACTTTCCATCGGTCGACCGAATTTTTCCATCGGTCGACCGACGGAATTTTCGGTCGACCGACAATATAGCCGTTGCTTTTTAACGGCTCTTTCTCTGAGCTGTTTGCTGGGGTTTTTGGTCATTTTGTTTTGGGGGTTTTTGCTGAGATTTCTAGTGGGTATATATACCCCATTGCTGATGTCTTTTCAAGTGAGCCAAGAGAGTTTAAAAACAAGTTTAAGAGAGTTTTAATCAAGGGTTTATGTTTGGTTTAAGTGTGTTTATAAGCTTTTAAGCATTTGAGTGTTTTGGTTTTGTGAATCACTTCCACAAGAGCTTGAGGAGATCATCTATTGGTGTTTGAGCATCCAACTCTTCTCCTTCCACTCTTGATCTATTGAGAAGTTTTCTAAACTCAATCTAGCTTCATATTTTATATTGTTTGATTATCTTTTTATTAAGCTAGTGTTCATATTGAGTTTAGTTGATTTTATTATCTCTTTGTTCACACACAACCTATTGAGCTTATTGTATTTACATTCATAGTATAATTTTGGGTTGTGAGATTAGTGACTTAGAGTTGTGCTTAATTGAGTTCTCACCTTGTTTAGAGAACAAATCATTTGATTTATATTGTGCTTATTGTGAGGATTCACTTGTAATACACTTGTACACCGAGAGAAGTGTGTGGTGAGAGACGGGGTCGAATCCAAGAGGAGTGGCGTCGGTTGACGTGCCTAGGGAGAGGTTGTAACCGAGCACTTGAGGAGGAGGACACGGGCTAGGACCAACACTTAGTGTGTGAGGTGGGATTACATAGTGATTGTATTGTGAGGTGTAAACGTTGTTCGGGTGAACGTAGAAAACCCGATTGTGATAGTGGAGATCTCCTCGAGGTGAGGAGCGGGGACGTAGGTCGTGGGGACCGAACCTCGTAAACATATCGTTTTGTTTGTGATTGCATTGGCGTTCTTATTCTTATTTTCATATCTTATATCGCCTTTGTGTATTGCTCATCATATTGCCCTATCACTTGTGTAGATTGTTTATTTTACCCTTGTGCTAGTTTACATATCCTCACATATATCATATTGCATATCTATTTGGTAGGATATATCACCTTGTGTTAGTTTTATATCCTTGCACATATCATTGTATATATATATTTCATCATATAGGATATATTTCTTGTTTACATTGCTTATCCTAGCCTATATATCTTGTTATATTTTATACTTGCTAGGATAACTTATTAATTAGTTTTAATTGGTATTTAATCGGATTAGATTAGCATAAGACCCTAATCACCCCCCCTCTAGGGTCTAACAAAGTCACGTGGACATATTGAGTCGTCCCTCGCTTTACAGATGTCGGCTGACGACTGGAGGGGGAATTACTTCATTATGGAAGAGAGTGTCTCCGCATTTCCTCGGAAGTGATTGAATTGACAAGTCATGGAGATCTGTCAGGCCAAAATCTAGGTAAGGCTTGTCCAAAATGGACTGAGGCGTCAACATTTGCTCTGGGGGAAAGGC